TGCTTTGCATGGCGAATTCTCTCAGTCATTCAAAGAAAAAATTTTTTAAAAAAAATTAAGAGGCGAAACGAATCGGAACTCGATCGTTCTCTTTCTTTTGCGTTTAAGTTAGTTGGTAAGTATTTACGTTACGTGGTCTTGGGCTTCTTGTGATCTTATACGTATTCCAATGGTTGGTTGTCGTGAGTTACTCTGCGGCTCAAACAGCATGTCGGGTGCGAAATCGATACCTGCCTCTCAGCTCTACGACTCTTAGGTCTCTGCGTTTTGACCGTAAACTTTGTGTCTGAAATGGGATTTATTGCAAAAAGTAATCAGGGCGCATCCTAGTTTCACTTTAGTTAAGATTTTGTCTATAGGTTAGGAGCCCATATCTGCCAGTGCTTATCCCAGTTCTCATAATATGAGGCGACTAGATCTTTGAACTGGGTACCGTTCCCTCTCAGGTGAACCGCAATATTTTACCTTGCTTACAACCTGGGTCTCCTCAGAGCTCTTATCATTATTTTATCTTTTGGCGTCACTTGTTTTTTAGGGATGGTGTGGGTCGTAGCGGCTGTGTAGCTACCATAATGTCAGTGATCGAACGAGTCAAGATTGAACAAACAGTTGATGTGTTTCAAACCATTAAACTGATTCGAGCTAAAAGGCCTGGTGCTGTGAACACCCTGGTAAGTTGCTAAGAAATGACGAGGGATACTGGGACTGTGTTCATCAGCGAATTATTTCCTCGCCTCGACTTAAAGCTCTATCTACTGTTCGTTTTTCAGGATCTCTACTTGTTCTGTTACAAGACAATCCTTGCATACCTGGATTCTTTCAACTGTTATTCAAACTTTGAAGATTGTTAAATTGTCAGTATTTGACAGTTGTCGATGTTTGCGTACCGTCAGTCAGTCAGTCAGTCAGTTAGTGAATTGATTAGCTGGTTGGTCTCTCAGACACAAATAAATTCAACAATCATGATAGATATGATGATCGTATTGGTAAATTGGTACTAGTAGCGCGAGTACAATAGTTAGCTCTTCAATATGGTTAGCTTCTTAATAGATATCACGTGCTGATTTTCTGAAGGGAAAAGCTCTCGAGTTTGTTTACGAAGAAAGTGCTAATCAGTAGTTGCAGTTAAATAGCATAGAAAGGGAACTTAAGTTTTGTGTAACCATGATAATGATAATCAAATGATCTTTAAAATTCATCTCTGACTCCAAGACTAAAAGTTTGAACCAAGAGCAGTTTATGATCAGACTGAAAACCAGTAAACAAAGCTTAATTTGTGGTAAATCTTTAAAGATTTACTGTTTAAATGGGAATTGTATTATATTCCTTCCAAATTCTATATTTTTTTCATTCGAAAAGAGACAAAGATAAAGTGGTATTTTAAAAATTGGTGTTTTTTTTATAGTTGATAGACAGACCAGTTAGATAATAATACTGTCGATTACAAATAATATTATTTGAATAGCTTTACGAGCTAGTAAAAAATGAAATTCATAAATCTGTCTTTTTAGACATTAAGTACAGTACTGATGCGTTGTCGTTTTACGAGAGTTAAATGAAAGGAAAAAAACTTAACTGTACACGAGCACTCTTAGCACAAGGTTAACTGTGTTCAAATGAACTTTTCTCTTCATTTAAAGCAACGTTGTAAACTAAAGGTACATCAGTTGTCCCGTTGATAGTAAAGGTTATACAGACACGTAACACTGAGAAGCCGTTTGGTTGGTGTCGTTCTTCATCATTATATGGAGAGAACACGGAGGAAAAACTCTCTGACAGGCTTGTATAGAATCTTATTCTGACCAGGATTTATTGATTTATTCGATTGGTTATTTAGTTTACATCCATTTAGTTTGTGCATGTCTTGCTCACCGAAAAAGTTTGATCGTTGCAAATATTAAAACGGAGCTTCAGGTAACGGTTTCGCGTAGGATGGTCAAATTATATGTATAGGTAATCACATGATTTCGAGTACAGTTTGGAATAAATAAGCACGATTAAATTTTTTCAAGACTAACAAAATTGCACGAGCCCGTTGGGCGAGTGCAATTTGTGGTCTTTGAAAAAATCAGCAAGTGCTTGTTTATTCCAAATTGCACAAGAAAAATCATGTGACTACGTGTTTATAATATACATGGAAAAATACGAGATGGCTTATCATAATTAAGTAGAAGCAAAGCGCGCGCATTAAGTGCAAAAATAAATTATTCAAACCGTGCGTTCGGTCAAAAAAACTGCGTACGATCAAAACAATAATAT